ATGGCGAGTAATCGGCTGGCAGGAAGATCACGATATGTTGCAACGAGACTTAGACTGAGCTTTTGAATGGTCAAAGGCAAATCTACATCCATTGAACACGTACAAGTGTAAAACCGTGGAGATTTGTCACAAGCTCACGTAAGCATATAAGCTTGGAGATGACATTCCGAAATCCGTCTCACAAGAGCGAGACCTTAGGGGTGGTAATCCAAGACGACATTGGCTATTCGGCATAGTCCTTGAAGACGTCCAAAACCGCGGACCAACATGTTGGTCTGTTACGGAGGGTGTTCGGGAGGTTCAATCCATCCATCTTCACCCAAATGCACAATGCATATGTGAGGCCCCATGTAGAGTACGCGATCCAGGCTCGACAACCCTGGTTGAAACGCGACATGATTTCACTGGAGGCCGCCCAGCGTAGGGTAACGAAAAAGGTGTAGCGGTTGTCCCACCTGCACTTCCATAGGCGACTGAGAGCCCTGGGAGTGTACAGCGGTAGATGTTGCCGTCTACGGGGTGACCCCGTCTTGGTGTTCCAGATCTTGAGAAACCCCGGTCACGCATGCCGTCACCACCTGAAGCTTAGCGGCAACACAGAATTGAGGGGTCATAAATTGAAACTTGCCACACAATACAGTCGATTTGAGTGCCACCGGAGTCATTTTTCTCTTCGAGTTTGTCAACCTTGGAACGCTCTTTCGACTTTTGTCAATTACCTGTCAGTGCCACCCGTATTAAAAACACGAGTCGACGATGCTTTACATCACCTACATTACTGGGTCTGATTTCTATTCATTGAGTAAGAATATGGCGCAGGCAAACGTTGTGCTCACCAAACCCAGGAACTCGAAGTAGACGGATATGCCTTTGTGTTGATGTAGATAATATAGTGAGTCCACAGATGTGTTTTTCACAATGTGCAACTTCATCGAACTAACGTTCTTCCCAAAACTATCATACGGGACTTGTCAAGTCTTGCCATTTTTATCCTTATTATTCAGTTGTTCCCTTGTTCACTGTTCCATTATCTGTGGGAATATCACCTGAACATTGAGTGTGTTTGTTTTCACGTATTTGGTGCAGGTAGTGCGGGGTAACCGCTCAGCTCCATTATATCACGCACTTGGCTCCGATTGCTTAGCCACGTGTTTGCATGCTAGCGTACTCGCCTTCGGGGTGCGTTGTTTGCTCGCCGAGGGTGTGGATGGACGAAAAGAAAGGGAGGCCAAGCGATGCCTTGGTCGAGAGGAATGAAACCCTCACTTGGTGCATTTCGACCGGCGGGCTGGGATCTGAAGGATGATGAACACGTTTGGTTAGACACGCTTGCTGATATGGCGAAGAACCGGCACCAATGGCGTTTGTGTTGTGAATACTGAATACTGAAAATAAAGAGATAGTGGACATGCCTCTATGTTTGCTCTATCGTAATGGATTCGGGCGCATGCGGAGCTCTACGTCACTGAAGTCTACTTTTATTACAGAGTTGCCGCATGCTATTCGGGCGCGACGCACTCCCTAAATGTGAACTCCGTAAAGTCGGTGTCTAAGAATAGCTTACATTACGGCACCGATTTCGCCTCAACAAGCTTCGCAGGGAAGCTGTTACAATATTTCATCACTCGGCACTCGAATCATAGTGGGTGAGTTATCCGATTTAGATTCGGTACCCCTAGCTTGTAGCAGTGCCTGCGAATCATGCTTGGTGCGCGCAAGTAAAGCAGTGACGTCATCATGGGGTAGTGGCTCAGGTGTAATATCCAATGCATTATAATGAGATCAACTCTGCACCGACGAGAGGAAAGGGTGCACAGCCCAGTCTGCTGTATCGGTCTTCGTACGACATGCTTCGTTAACTGAGGATGAGCCTCGTAGCTACATTCTGATCAAGTTAATAATTTTGCACCTCGCCACGGGTGATCGGACAATAGTCAGGTGATCCCTACGCGAATACAGGTCATATGATGGAAGAGAAGAGGCGCGTGGCAATCTCTTCAGACCAAATCTAGAAGCTGCGGATGAGCACCCAAAGCATACGTCGTCCGTTTCCATGTAGCTTATTCGTTTTGTCTACTGACTTTAAATCGCAATGTGAGAGTAGGCCGAGATCCTTCATAGAATGTGTGTGATCTGTTGGCTGGCCAGCCAACGTGTACGTACGCCCATCACCATCCTTCCCCTGGCTCATACATAACGAATTGACTGGGTTGACCGGCAGATCGATCCCTGGACAGTAGATCGATATCATGCTGAAGGAAGTCACAGTTCAGCCCTCTCTCTTTTAAATTCCTCCTCTAATTGCGGTCTCAGCAAATCAATCTTATAATATTTAACATCCTATTACTCGCTTTTTGAATATTTTTGTTGTGTATTTTTTCTATCATCGATTTTTACATTGCGGTACGTTAGCTGAGGCCTGTTTCTCACCACCAGCTAACGTGTTTGAGGACGATGATGAACGCCGGAAAACTGCAATGCGTAAGGTAATAAACCTAGCAAAATGGCCTGACAACAGAGCGAGAAAAGCCGACCGGCGAGTGCTATCCGCAGTCGAGTAATGATGAATGTGGAGAGTAAAATCGGAAATAGGCCGGAGTGCAGTGGTGTAGCTGGATGAAAGCAGCAGTTTCCGGATTTACCTGTCAGTGTGGCGATGAACCGTCACTGAAGACTTGTGTTCAATCAGTACTCGTGATTGCCCTACGCAGCTCGATCCAACTACTTCATACTCAGAACGTACCATATTAACTCAACGGGAGGCGTCTGACTGGAATACATGATTGTCTCAGCCAACAGCTTTAAGACACACAGCACTGACGCAAACTTGAGAGAAATGTTAGTAATGAGTTTACAGATCGATAACCGTGATTTGACACTGGCCCTAGCACTGTTACGGAGAGGGTGCACACTGTTATCCTCAGAAACAATGCCCGTCTCATACAGGCAGCATGTGGGATGCTTGAAATAGACAGAACACAATAGGGAGGATGACATAGATGCACGCTTCTGATAGTGGTCCCGTTAAATGTTAACTGTTAATGTGTAATGGTCGTAAATCGAACAGATGCTGCGGTCAACAACTTAACATGTTTTACGCTATCTGTCTTACAGCGATGGGTTACGCAGGAGAAGTTTGTACTCGAGAACGAGGTATTCAGGCACCATTGATTGCAAAAGGCGTATCGGGATGGTATCATCCAGGGGCTTGACTGCTCCAATTAGTATTATTGACATCCACAACATTCGGCCCGTTCCCTTAGCTAGACTCCTAGACGAGTGCTGCGGTAGGAATTTGAAAGTTTGAGAAGCCTGTGTTCGGCGACCATCTCGTCCTGACATCCGCGATGCACCATCCCTAACGTACACTATTGATAACGTGCCGTGAGTGCTGATACTTTTGATGTAGTGGATGGTAGAAGTTTCACGGCCGTTGGCTCATTTCTGTCTGGCTGTCTGTTCGACTGCCTCTTCTCCGTTGCCAGTCTTTCCGAGATTTTCAGAACCATGTTGACTGACACCTGAGGTACCTTGCAGTAACTGTGGATGGTCCGTAATCAAATATTCCGATTCTTACTCCCATGAGGCTCACGGTTCCCTCAACTGGATATGGATAGGAAATCAATGTAGTCCAAGGAGATTCGACTCCATGGCATATGACGATCAAACTGGACATGGATAACGGGTGACTGCGCAAGCAATCGGTTAAAGAGTAAACCATTTAAATGATCGAAACATAATTTGAGCCACTGAAACCACATCAGATTGCAATAAAAATGCATATACTCACTGTGCTAATGGATACCTTTGCATTCACAAAGCAATTGGCCACTTCAACACAGAAACAAGTTGTGGTGTCGACTAGCTATCACAACCACATCTTAGGTCATGAAACTCATGAATATGCTCACTTACTTTGCCAAGACGTTCCCTTGATCAAATCGTACTCGTCGCATATTTGCTTGCACATGATTGATCATGCCTACTGTGGTGTGCCTAGTGTAATATGAAGAAGATACATTTTTATTTTATTACGGGTATAATGTCGGTAGATACTTCTGGCTAATGGATCAAGGGGAGGTTGACGACATCCGAAGAGTTGATCTTGCAAACATGCGGTATGTTCCGTTAAAATGTCGGATGACTGTCAGCCCTGCTTGCGCTGTCGGGATGGTTGTAATAGCATGCTATAAGGCTTTATTCATGGTTTGAACGGACAACTCGTTCCTAGCAAAATTACACCACATTCATCTAGAGTTGTGTGGGCCTTCCATAATGGCTGCTCAGTTGGTCATATATATATATATATATATATATATATATATATATGTATATATATATATATATATATATATATATATATATATATATATATATAGCTTCTTCCGTCACTCATAATAGCTTCCGATACTGTTGCACTGAGCTATGATGAGCTTGCGGTTATGGATTGCAGCTGCTTCTAAATGATGAACATTAGCTGAAACAAATACATCAGTGGTAACCAGACCTTATGAGATATCATCGATTCCAATCTTCAGCGTGTATGCCAGTCCGTCCATCATTTTGACTGTGGTGGGTATCCTTTTTAAACCTTCAGCAAGTCCCCTCTACCACACGTCAGCTCATGGGCCATCGGCCGTTGCAATATTAACCGGACTATGTGCGGTGTTGCCCACGGGCTTCAGGTACTTTCGCACTTGGAATGGCAGTTCTCTGTCGTTCATCATCGTCCGTAAATAAATGCACTTGCTATCTAGCACTTTCTTTTATTTGCACTGGATAAGCAAGCACCTGAAAATCCAGTCCGTTAGGTTAAGAGGAGGCTTCATCTTGCATTTTCTTGACATACGAATGCCAGACTACATGCGAGCGGCTAGGGAAGGCACATGTCAAATTTACGATAAATCTGAGTACAATGTGCTTGCTAAAACAAATGATAGTAAACATTTATTTCGCTATGTTTCTCACACTAAATGAGCCTTCTGTCCTTTTTCCTTAAGATGGAAGTTCCAAACGTCCTCTCAGACCGGCGCTATTGCATTCGATGGTCCCTTAGGCAACTATGCCGGATCGGGATATGTGCAAGATCTGTCACGTTCACGGGAGGTGTCCGAACTGATGTTAGAGGAATTATTCCGAGGACGGTGGATCGATATGGCCACTAGAGCACTGTTTCTCGACTTCGCCATATATAATGCCAATATCAATATGTACATGATTGTGAAGTAAGTGGTTTGCCCTCCATTTAAATCAGCCTTAATTAAACTTTGAATTGGCATTACGAGTAACCTCAGTTTTTCTCGTTTGGAAGTTGCTGAAATTTATCCGTCTATATAATCTAGTGTCGCACCGCTAAGCTGTTCTAATAGAAGATTCTCTATGCACCGCTGGTCGTTTGGATTGATTTGGCATAGGCATTCATTAAATTTATAACGGACTGAGTTCCTTCTCAACTGGACGTCCAACTGCGAGTCGCCACGTTATCTAGTTGAACAGGTCCTCTATCTGGACTGCTCCAAAGCTTTCGACCGTCTAAATCATCGCATCCTACTTAACAGGTTACGAAGCTACGGAATCGGAGATCCTGTTCTTGGTTGTATTGAAAACTTCCTTCACTAACGGAAACTTCAAGTGCTTGTTAAGTTGACCGCTGTTCAATGCGATTGAGGTGGAATGCGGTGTCCCACAAGCTTGGTGGTTATCAACGACCAGGCAAAAGTTATTTCCTCAAATTTCTGCTTTTCGCCGATGATGTCAAGATGTGGTGGGTGATTAGTAACAATGAAGATCACGATCTACTCCAACATGACCTAGATTGCATTTAAGAATGATCAAAGCGGAAGCTGCTTCAGTTGAACGTAGCTAACTGCAAGGTGATGCATCTGCGTCACCGGTGAGCATTTACAAACTTGGGGACCATACCTTGCAGAAGGTCTCTCAGGAGCCTGACGTGGGTGTACTGGTACAGGAAGATCTCGGGTGTTCAAATCAAGCAGAGAAAGCGAAAAGAACCGGCAATCTACACTTCGGCCTGTTTCGCAAATCCTTAGGTCTGTTTGAACCCTCAATCTTTCCCCAAATGCTGAACGCCTACATGCGACCGCACGTGGAATATGCGACCCAGGCGTAGAAGCCGGGGCGGAAACAGGATCACGTTGCTCTCCAGACTTCTCAATAAAGGGCAACGAAGTACATCAGGGGCCTCTTTCATCTACCATATCAGCTTAGACTGAAGTCCCCAAGAATGTACAGCAGTCCATCTCGGCTTTTGCGGTGGGAGCTCGCAAATTTTAACCAGATTCTGAGGAACCCAAACCACATTCGCCGTCCGCTGCTGAAATTGAACCACAACACTAACCTAGGAGGTCATCCTCTGAAAATGAAAATACAGTATAACCGGTTTGAATGCCGTAGAAATTTATTTTCCCTTCGCTTGTGTCAACTTTGGAACGCCCTCTCTAATTATGTCCTCTCCGCCCCCAACCTTGCGATAGTTATAAAACGAGCTGAAGATGCGTTGTCTCATTTGCATTTTATTTTATGAATTGTTAGCCCGGGGGCTACAAAACGCAACCAAACGGTGTCTTACCAAACTCCCAACCAATGAGTTTATGGATGTATACTTTTAATACGCGAACATCTCCGCTATTCTACATAAGTCTCTGGTGAGCCCAGCAAAACGCTATTCTCTTTATCATGCAACTTAATTTTCAGAATTATTTCCATCTCACGGAACTTGTTAAACACTGATCTGTCACCCGTTATACACCATTGTTCCACTGTCTGACGGTTCATTCACTGTGGAATTTACGTTCCGCTCACAGCACCACCCGCTCACACCACCACCCATGCTGTCTGACCATGCTTTCCCATCAGTCCCAACAAGCAGCACCCTGACTAACAGAAGGTTGCGTAATGCTGTTGATTTCTTAAACTCTACGGAATGATGTTTAAATCTTTATGTTCGAAAATCTCCTGACCGACCTTTGGGTTAAATACCTTTATTTCGTAGAACCTATTTGCTAACATGGGACCCTGGATGAACGTGATTCTATTGGGGTCGCCTTGGAGATGTTGTCGCAGTGTGATGTGTTACCCCGTTTGTTGTCGTTTGGTATTGCTGCATCATCATAACACATTTTCCGATTATTATTGCTGGATGATTGCTTCTTTTCAAACATTTTTATCTGATGTGCATCCTCGGGCGCCTCTGTACAGTTAGTTTTCATGTTAACATGCACCAACCCAACCCGCTTAAGGTTATCCAATGAGTGAACGATTATTTCCTATTAAAACGCATCTTTTGTTCGGTCCTGAGCAATCAGGATAGTACTTGAGAGCTGCGTCCATTTGCTGATGGATGGATTTCCGTCCTCAACAGAGCTCGCAACCTGACGAATTTTCTGTACTTAGTGGTACAAAGTATCGACTGCTTTCCCACCAAACTTATCAATACTCCGATGCCGTACGTTTCAATGGAACAGTGGAACAATGGTATAATACGAATGAAAAGGCCGAAACTTGACAAGTCCCGTAGGATAGTTTTGGGAAGAACGTTAGTTCGATGAAGTTGCACATTGTGAAAAACACATCTGTGGACTCACCATATTATCTACATCAACACAAAGGCCTATCCGTCTACTTCGAGTTCCTGGGTTTGGTGAGCACAACGTTTGCCTGCGCCATATTCTTACTCAATGAATAGAAATTAGATCAAGTAATGTAGGTGCTGTAAAGCATCGTCGAGTCGTTTTATGAAAATGGGTGGCGTGGGCGTGGAAATGACAAAAGTCGAAAGAGCGTTCCAAGCTTGACAAACTCGAAGAGAAAACTGACTCCGGTGGCACTCAAATCGACTGTATTGTGTGGCAAGTTTCAATTTATGACCCCTCAATTCTGTGTTGCCGCTAAGCTTCAGGTGGTGACGGCATGCGTGACCGGGGTTTCTCAAGATCTGGAACACCAGGACGGGGTCACCCCGTAGACGGCAACATCTACCGCTGTACACTCCCAGGGCTCTCAGTCGCCTATGGAAGTGCAGGTGGGACAACCGCTACACCTTTTTCGTTACCCTACGCTGGGCGGCCTCCAGTGAAACCGCGTCGCGTTTCAACTAGGGTTGTCGAGCCTGGATCGCGTACTACATGGGGCCTCACATATGCATTGTGCATTTGGGGGAAGACGGAGAGATTAAACCTCCCGAACACCCTCCGTAACAGACCAACATGTTGGTCCGCGGTTTTGGACGTCTTCAAGGACTGTGCCGAATAGACAAAGTCGTCTTGGATTACCACCCCTAAGGTCTCGCTCTTGTGAGACGATTTTCGAAATGTCGTCTCCAAGCTTATATGCTTACGTGAGCTTGTGACAGATCTGCCCGGTTTTACACTTGTACGTGTTCAATGGATGTAGATTTGCCTTTGACCATTCAAAAGCTCAGTCTAAGTCTCGTTGCAACATATCGTGATCTTCCTGACAGCCGATTACTCGCCATACCTTGATGTCATCGGCAAAAGTAGGAAATTTGACTTGATGACACTCACAAGATCGTTAATGAAGAACAAGAATGACTGCAGCCCCAACACTGACCCTTGTGGAGCACCGCAGTCCACACCAATTAGATCAGAAAATTAACTTCGAACGAGAACCTGAAGGCGCCGTTGAAGGAGGAAGTTTGCGATTCATCCAAGGATGGGGTACCTAACTCCGTACGCTTGCAGCTATTGGAGAAGGATGAGGTGATCTATGCAGTCGAATGCTTTTGCAAAGGCTAGATAAATGACATTAATGCCAGTCCCACTCTCAGTTATCTCGGTCTAACTATCAGTGCAAGCAGTAGGTTGGTAGTACATGACCGTTGCTGACGGAATCTGTGTTGCGCCGATGTTATGAGCATATTTCTTTCGAAATAGCTCGTTACAGCCTCACCTATGATACATTCCATCACCTTTGAAAGCATTGGGAGGAGAAGCAGTGGGCGATACTTGGCTGGTTCTGAACGGATGCCACTTTTGAAAATCGGGGTACTGATATCTTACTTCCACATGTTAGGGACCCATTGCTTTTGCAGGCATCTTTGGAAAAATCTCGTTTGTGGTCGGGCCATCCTCTCGGCTGCCACCTGCAGTGTTTTCGGGGGAATGCTGTCAAATCCGGGGAGAACTGCGGGTGCGCAACGACAGTAGCTTCCTCAACATGGTCACTGAACTAAACGTGACGTGTGTAAATACTGGCGGCTGTGAGTTTTGGGACGGATATGTTATAAGTGCTGGTAGCACGTCGGAAAATTGCGGCAGCTTGGAGCCGTGGAACTTTATCTGTCTCCACGGCTGTATGAGCACATCCATCCGCTGATATTAGTGGGGGAACACCACGTTTCATATTCAGAGGCTGGTCACATATTTGTACATAAGTTTTTGTTAACCCGAAACTTTGCCGCTAGACTCTGCTGGGGTACTAATTTGTCCGCATGCACAAGTGTGGTACAGTGTTTATGATGCACAACTTAGTGACTCCAGTTGTCAGGGCTAGGGTTCGGTCTATACACATGCCACGCGGCGTCTCTTACTATCATGTGTTTTCGGGTTCTACTCCGAATGAATGGTTGTGATGTTGTGGAACGATGAGGTTTGTTGACAGATGCAGCTTTAACCAGATCACTGAACTTGCCAGTAAAATCCAACAAAGCACTGTCAGTTGATCATTCGTCCGGAAACTACCAGATGGCATGTCTCACAAGTTCTGCCAGTAGGTCGTGGTGGGTGATTATTCGAAACAAGTTATTATGTCCTTGTGGATATTCCGCATAGCACACGAAGTCGTAAATTATGCTTACGTGGTCGCTTCGCCCCTTGGATTCTCAATCACGAGCTCTTCGTGTGTGAGCACTAACTCGAGCACAGATGGTTTAGTTCCGGCTCTCAATTGAGTGGGTCAACTGCCATAGCTAAAGAGTAGAATGCTTGCAATATACTCTTGCAGGTCTGCTTTGAATTGCTCGTTAGGGATGCCGGAACCTCCAAATCGTGCATACTGAAGTCACCTGCGATGAGAACATGACGGTATCTTCCTCGTAAGACCTTTCCCAAGGATGGTGTCAGGCGGGAGCCCATCTTTGGGGTGGACACTGGGGGACGATAAATAACTGCTGCAACACAAGTGTCGTTGCTTCTCAGTCGCAGACTTCACCAGAGTGAGTCTATGATCAGCGTTTCCGTATCGGCCACCGG